CATCTCCTCCTATCCAGTACACCTCAGATCCAGACTCACAAGATCAGATTCTTAACCCAGATTTCCTCCTATGGCAAAGGCAAGACCAGCTCCTTGCATCTTGGCTTCTATCCTCCTTGAGTGAAGGCATCTTGATCCAGACTGTTGGACTCAACACTTCGAGAGAGATCTGGAACTCTCTTGAAACCAGCTTTTCAAGCCAAACAACAGCAAAACTGATGCAGTATAAGATGCAGCTCCAAGGCTTGAAGAAAAACAATCTTGCCATGTCACAGTACCTCAACCAAATGAAGATATGCTTTGACTACCTAGCCTCAGCCGGCCAACCAGTGAAAGAAGGAGATAAGATTATACACATCCTCAGTGGCTTAGGCAGTGAATATGATGCAGTAATGGTGTCTGTCACCTCTAGAGTTGAGCCCTATACAGTGAGTGAGGTTCAAGCCCTACTGATGAGCTATGAAGCAAGGCTGGAAATTAATACCAAGCTGACTTCTAATGTCTATATAGAAGGATCTCAGCCATCAGTGAATGCAACCACTCAAACCTCGCAGAAAAAGAACTATCCTAATGATCAAACAAGAGGAGGATTTAGGGGCTACAACAACAATAGGGGTGGCAGATCAGGAGGAAGAGGCTATAGAGGAAGAGGTGGTAGATTTCAAGGCAACAGGCCTGTGTGCCAAGTGTGTAAGGTTGCTGGTCACACCGCAGACAGATGTTGGTACAGATTTGACCAGAACTACACTCCTCAACAACAACAAAACAACAACTCAGGACCTAACAGAAACCCCTCACTCAACCTCACACAGTATGGCAACTCACCAGCTAGTTCAGAATTTGGAGGTGAAAGTCTTTGGTATCCTGATTCAGGAGCTTCAGCACATGTGACAAATGAGCTCTCAAATATGAACATGGCCTCTGAATACAATGGACAGAACAAGCTTCAAGTTGGAAATGGGACAGGAATCTCCATCAACCACATTGGTAATGGTTTTCTTAAGTCTCTAAGTAATAGCAAAGCATTTCTACTTAATGAACTGTTGCATGTGCCCTCCATAACCAAAAATCTTATCAGTGTTTCTAAGTTTGCTCTTGACAATGATGTTTATTTTGAATTCCATCCTTCTTTTTGTGTTGTCAAGGATCAAACCACTCAAGCCACTCTTCTCAGAGGGACTGTTAAAGATGGTCTTTATCTCTTCAACCTTCAACCAGTTTCAAGTCCACAGCATGCACCCAGATTAGCTTTCTTGAGTTGCAGAAGTCCTTCAATCAATCATGTTGCTTTCAATAAAATTCCTAGTCTAGATCTTTGGCATCAAAGGCTAGGTCATGCTAGCTTAGACATTGTTCAAAAGGCTCTTAAGGCATGTAATCATCCCTATATTATTAATGAAAACTCTGGGTTGTGTGTTTCTTGTTCAGTCTAAAAAAGTCACAAACTTCCATTTCCTTTATCAGACAGCACTTATAATTCTCCTCTTGACCTTGTCCACACTGATTTATGGGGGCCGGCACCAGTTAAATCAACAAATGGTTACATTTACTATGTTGTTTTTGTTGATCATTATAGTAGATTTACTTGGCTATATTTACTTAAGGCTAAAAGTGATGTGCATGGAGCCTTTGTTCACTTCAAGAATTTAGCAGAAAATCAGTTGGATGCTAAAATCAAAAGAATTCAATCAGATGGAGGAACAGAATATAAAACACTCTCAAAGATTTTTCAAGAATGTGGAATTGAACATAGGATCTCATGTCCTTACACACCCCAACAAAATGGGGTAGCAGAAAGAAAACATAGGCATTTAACTGAGATGGGTCTAGCCTTGTTACATCACTCTAAATTACCTGTTAGGTTTTGGGATGATGCATTTGTGACTGCCTCTTATGTCATCAACAGAATACTAGCCAAGGGACTAAACTTCTCATCACCTTTTGAATTGTTGTTCAACAGAAAACCTGATTATTCCTTATTTAAAGTTTTTGGCTGCTTATGTTATCCACACACCAGGCCAATTAACAAACATAAGCTTGAGTTCAGATCACAACCTAGTGTTTTTCTGGGTTATAGTCCTCAATACAAAGGCTTCAAAGTGATGCTGCAGTCAGGAAAAGTAATTGTGAGCAGAAATGTTGTTTTTGATGAAAACATTTTCCCTTACAAAGAAAAAGAAGACAGAATTAGATCTTCTGATTGTGCTACACCTCCTGTAACCTTACCTGCTCTTGAAAGACTTTTCCAGCAGTCTCATCAAAGGAGCATTGAACAAGAGGAAGAACAATCAACACCACATCAATCTGTTGAAGAACAGTTCACACCTCAGAACAGCAGAAGTGAGCAGCAAATGGCAAGCTCTCCAAGAGGAGGTTCAAGTCATTCCACAATTCCTCTTGTTGTGGACTTACAAATTCCCCAAGCACAAGGAGAGTCTCCTCAAGCACAGTCACCACAGCAATCAAGAAATCTGCACCCCATGATTACAAGAGCTAAAGTTGGGACCTTCAAACCCAAGGTTTACAATGTTGAAACTGAGGAAAAGGAACCAAACTCAGCTGAGGAGGCTATGCAAGATGAAAAGTGGAGGAGAGCAATGGAGGAAGAGTATAATGCTCTCATCAAAAACAATACTTGGAACCTGACCACACTGCCTGAAGGTAAAAATCTGGTTGGAAATAAATGGGTATATAAAGTCAAAAGAAACAGTGATGGCAGTGTATCTAGATACAAAGCAAGACTTGTTGCTCAAGGTTTTTCCCAAGCTCCTGGCTTTGACTTCACTGACACATTCAGCCCAGTGGTAAAGCCTACCACAATCAGAGTTATGATGACAATAGCAGCCTTTCACTCATGGCCTATTCTTCACATTGATGTGGATAATGCATTCTTGAATGGAGAACTGGAAGAAGACATCTACATGAGACAGCCATACGGTTTTGAAAAGGAAGGAGATCACATTGTCTGTAAGTTATCTAAGGCCCTATATGGTTTGAAACAAGCTTCAAGAACTTGGTTCACCAAAATCAGATCAGTGTTGATGGCCTTGGACTTCAAAAACTCTAGAGCAGACACTTCCCTATTTGTTCTCAATGAGAAAGGAGAAATGACATACCTCTTAATCTATGTGGATGACATTCTTGTTACAGGGAGCAACACCAAAACAATTGAGAGAATAATTCTTAAACTGAAGGAGACTTTCTCCCTCAAAAATCTGGGACAAGTCAAACACTTTCTTGGTATTGAAGTGAAGGAAACTTCAGAAGGACTACATCTAAGTCAGTCAAGCTATATTAAACAGGTTCTGGGAAGAGTTAACATGTCTCAGGCCAAAGGGTGTCCTACACCTATGGTATCATCATTACATCTATCAAAGTTTGAGGGAGAACCTAGTGTGGATGCAACTTTATACAGGAAGGTCGTTGGAGCTTTGCAATATGCTACAATCACAAGACCTGAAATCAGTTTCTCAGTGAATAAAGTAAGCCAATTCATGTCAGCTCCTCTGAACACCCATTGGAAGGCAGTCAAGAGAATTTTAAGGTATCTAGCTGGAACAAGTGATTATGGTCTACACATTATGAAGTCCAGGCACTTTAACTTAACAGGATTTTCAGACTCGGATTGGGCAGGAGATTGTGATGACAGAAAATCAATGACAGGTTCTTGTGTGTTTCTTGGTGGAAGTTTAATCTCTTGGTCAGCAAAGAAGCAAAACTCTATCTCTAGGTCCAGCACTGAGTCTGAATACAGGAGTTTGGCACACAATGTTGCTGAAATCACTTGGCTGCAATCCCTTATGAAGGAACTGAACATTAAGTGCACATCTATTCCTACAATTTGGGTGGATAATCTCAGTACCATCTATCTTGCCACAAATCCCATCCTACATGCTAGAACAAAGCACATAGAGTAAGTTTAAGTACAGAAAAAAGGATTGATCAATTCACTTTGTAAGAGAAAAGATAGAGGCCAAGAGCATAACAGTTAACCATGTTCCTTCTCACGACCAAGTTGCAGACATCATGACCAAGCCATTGAGTTTTCAATCCTTCTCTCGTCTCAGAAACAGATTGCATGTGGTGCCCCTGAGCTCGCTCGAATTGAGGGGGCGTGTTAAACTTTGGACTGAAGTCAAAGCTTTCTCCACCTCACCTCACTTACCTGCTGCCTCGTCACCATGCAAGGAGAATGACCAGCGTGCCCCTTATATGCTAAAGTATCATGCAGTTTCCCATGAGGGAGCAGGATGCATGCACGTGTAATGATCCTATGGTGACAAATTAATCTTGTAATGTGAGTGAGAGAAATAGAGTTTGTCATGTGTGTATAAATGCTACAGAACCCTAGCCGCATTGGCATTGATGCATTCTTGAATGAAGAGAAACCTTAAGCTAAAAATGGATGTTTTCCTTTCTTTTCATGAGAATGAATCAGTCACATTTCCTCGTTTTGTTTTCAAGCTAATAAATTAATTTGAAGTGGCGCTAAATTATGACTGACAATATAATAGCTACATAATATAACAAAATTGTTTGACAAAATAAGTTGATAACTTAGTTCAAACATAAATCTCGATCGTTTTTTCTAATGCTACGTAACTAATTAAGTGTTTGAAATAACATATTTAACTACATCTAGCAAACCATTATATAGTCCACATAACATAAGTGGGTAAAAATGTGAGCTCGAGCGACAAATAGGGAAGTGAGCTAATAAAAAAGAAAAGAATAAGAAATTAATTCTTATATTCAATTTTGTTTTGGGACAAAATAAAATCCAGCAGAAACATAGTTGGGACACCTGACGTGGCGATTCTATTGCAAAACTCCTCCTATAAATAGCCCCATTCGACATTCTCGATACCAACATACATTTCTTTCTCCCAATCACATAAACATCCTCTCTCTCTTTCTCTCTCTCTACAATTTCTATTTTCAGTACGTTTCCTTTGAGTTTGAGATTATCCCACAAATAAATATCCGATTGCTGAAAAAAAATGACGCTGTCGATGAAAGCCACGTGTAATTCCCACGGCCAAGATTCCTCCTACTTCCTGGGATGGCAGGAATACGAGAAGAACCCATACCACGAAGTTCGAAATCCCAATGGAATTATTCAGATGGGCCTTGCCGAGAATCAGGTACGTGCTAATAATAAGTATTTTTAATCAATCGCACAAAAAAAAAAGAAAAAAAATATTTTAATCTTACTGATCGAATCATTTTCTTCTGGCATTCGACAGCTGTCATTTGACCTGCTCGAGTCGTGGTTGGCGGAAAATCCGGACGCTGCTGGATTCAAGAGAGATGGAGAGTCCATTTTCAGAGAGCTGGCTCTCTTTCAAGATTACCATGGACTTCCCGCTTTCAAGAATGTAAGCTCCCATGCAATTGTATTAATTAATTCATCAATTTTGATCTAAAAAAAATAATAATAATGAATGTGCACATATCAATTCAGGCACTAGCGCAGTTCATGTCCGAAATCCGAGGCAACAAAGTCAACTTTGACCCAAAAAATCTCGTCCTCACCGCCGGCGCCACGTCAGCCAACGAAACCCTCATGTTCTGCCTCGCCGACCCCGGCGACGCCTTCCTCGTACCCACACCCTACTATCCCGGGTTCGTAAACACATCATTTATTAATATAATATTAGAAATTTTGTTCGTTAATTAATAAGTCAATTCCTAACAAAAGAATAATTTAACATGCAGGTTTGACCGTGACCTCAAGTGGCGAACCGGCATCAACATCGTCCCTATCCAATGCAACAGCTCCAACAACTTCCGAATCACGGGCCCCGCCCTCGACCAAGCCTACCGCCAGGCTGGAAAACAAAACCTCTCGGTAAAGGGCATTTTGGTAACTAACCCTTCAAACCCTCTCGGCACAACCCTTACCCGCCAAGAACTTGAGCTCCTCCTCGACTTTGCCCACTCAAATCACATCCACCTCGTCAGCGACGAGATCTACTCCGGAACCGTCTTCGGCTCCCCATCCTTTGTCAGCGCCATCGAGATCCTATCCGAAGAAAATTACCAAAATACCCCCCTCTGGAAACGCGTCCACGTCGTGTACAGCCTGTCGAAGGACCTGGGCCTCCCGGGCTTCCGGGTCGGGTCCATCTACTCGAACGACCCGCTCGTCGTGTCGGCCGCCACGAAAATGTCGAGCTTCGGCCTCGTCTCGTCCCAGACGCAGTATCTTCTCTCGGTGATGCTTTCGGACGAGAAGTTTGTGAAATCGTACATTGTCGAGAATAAGAGGCGGCTTGAGAAAAGGCGGGAAATGCTCGTTCGCGGGCTCGGGAGTATTGGGGTGCCGTGTCTCGAGAGTAACGCGGGGCTCTTTTGTTGGGTGGACATGAGGCGTTTGTTGGGGTCAAAGACGTTTGAAGCTGAGATGGAGCTGTGGAGGAAGATCGTTTATGAGGTGGGGCTGAATGTTTCGCCCGGGTCGTCGTGCCACTGTGTGGAGCCGGGATGGTTTCGCGTGTGTTTTGCGAACGTGTCGGAGGATGGGTTGGGAGTGGCGGTGGGGCGGCTGAGGGGGTTTGTGGGGCGGACAGGTGGCGGGCGTGGGGTCAACGGGGGTTTTTCGAGGAGGATTGAGTAGAGAAAGTGCACTCTGTCCATGTGGACGCGAAGTGAGATTGTGTTTTAATTGATGTTGGTAATTCTCTTTTTCGGGTGTTGTTTTGATGAAATCTACGCCTCGTTGTTATGTTGTTGGTAATTAATTAATTAATTAATACATATGTTTGAGGAAATCTTCTCTATTTACTAAACTGTTTTTCTGTAGTCGATTTTGATTAGATGCTGCCTATGAAACCGTACGAAAAATGACATAGTAATGTAAAAGTGGCTAATTTCATTTTTAGTACACTGTGTTGGTTATTTTTCAAAAAAAGTCCCTCATATAGGATGTCATCAAGAATGGTCCATTAAGTTGCAACTTTTCATCAAAACTCGTACAATAACCAACATAGTGTACTAAAAATGGCGATCACTTGTAGTACATTATGTTGGTTTTTGTACGAATTTTGATTAAAGTGGCAATTTAGTGGACCATTTTTTATGACGCCCTATATGATGTGATATTTTTTAAAAAATGACCAATATAGTCGACTATTTTTAAAATTTTGCTAAAAAATGACATAGTAATGTAAAAATTCATAATTAGATAAAAAAAGAAGAAGGATAAGAAGAAAAAAAACTGATTTAAATTGGTTGTCTGGCCTTTTGCATTCACTGTGCCCGATTTGATTTGAGTTAGTTTTGGTCGGTATATAACCACATGCATAATAAATACATAGTTTTTAACAGTAACGTAAGTGAGACATCTGAATGCATTAAATTAAGAACATGGCATCAAACGATTTTTTCGAGCACGTATATTAGGTCTGAATGGTTTTTTCGAGCACGTATATTTTCAAGATTCTAATTATTTAACAGCATGGCATCAAACGAGAGGTCAAGATCGAGTGAACATAAATGTGAGCATATGTTATGACAAAAGCTACCTCCTTATGTTTGTGTACAAAAAAAAAAAAATAGTACTCCCTCCTAGTTTTAATAAATGTCGTTTGAGAAGTTGCACAATAATTAAGAATATTTTTTTTGTCAATAATAACCCCCATTGATGAGAATAGAGATGAATGTTTTAAGAAAAGATGAAGAGTGAATATGAAAAGACGTAATGTATTTATTAGTTAGATGAAGGTAATAATGGAAAAATATGTAAAAAAAAAACAACATTTATTTAACAAATGATCAATTAAGCCAGAATGACAAATAATAAAAATAGGAGGGAGTACCTTATAACAATAATGGAATGAACAGGCAAAAGGACAACAAAACAAAAAGAGTACTGAAATTTGAAATGCGTGGATCATACTATAGAGATTAACTTTTAATTTCTAGATGATATGTGCCCGGGTGTCCCCCATAAAACAAGGAAACCGCGTTTATAAGTCTTTCACGTAAAGTTAATTTTTTGTTGAGCTTGGCATAAATTTTTCTTGTAGCCACTTCACAAAATTTAACACCCGTTTTTGCCCAATAGTCAAAAGAAAATCTTATTTACTCTAGAACAACCACCTTTCAGCCCATCGTTCCAATCATTCCAACACCAAGAGTGGAAAATAACTACTGTGTGTGTGTGTGTGTGTGCATTAAATTAATCAAATTGAGTATTTTATGTGAATTGAGGCAAGGATACAATTATTTTGACATAAGAGCCACTCGAGCAGTTGAAAATATATGGTCATATTGTTATCTACTAATTGGACACCAACTTTTCCACGCTTTTCTTGCTCAATTATTCTCTTTGGACGTTATACTTATATCATGTCCTAAAAATTTAGAAACAGATGGTTAAAGTTATTGTTTAAACATCATATAGATACTATACAGTTTTGTCAATACATATTTTCTGCCCGTATGTTTAAATATAACATTGTTTTTCATGTGCCGCACCACTAGCATTTCTCCACCAATTTTTAGTAAACTCATTTATGAAAAATAAATAAATAAAGACAAAAACTTTGATTCCATGAGCAGCAATATGCCTATCCAGGGCTTAAACAGCGTCAACGAACACATAAACAAATGCTCGGTTGATTGACTATCATTTTTATTTTAAAAACCAAATCAAGTAGAATTTGACTACCATTTTTAATATACTAAAGTTTAAAAAAAGAACCTGTAAAACGTCCAACGTCGGAAAACCTTTGCTCATCCTCTAGTGCCGTTAATGTCGCCTCTATCACATTGTAATAATTTGATCGCATATTCTCACTCTGGCAACTATAAGTTTCGTAATAAAGGTGAAAATTGTAGTGTTGGTTCACTAACTTAGGTTGTTTTCTATTTTTATCCTGTAATTTATTAGAGTTCGAAATTGATCTAATATCTCTTAATTTATAGCCAATTTTGACCCGTTCACCGAAAGCCGATGAAATTGAGTTGGAGCATTTTGCCGTCGACTAAGCTGACGCGTGAATTTTGAGCTGGACATGTGAATTTTGCCACATAATTACATTAAATTATTTGAATTTTAACATTAAAACCAAGCCATGGAAATCAACCTCTCAGAACCGGCATAATTTCATTTTTAGTCCAGTATATTGGCCTCTTTCCAGCAAAGGTTCATCCTTTTGGTAGATATCATATCTAGTACATTAATTTAAAAAAATTATTCAATAAGGTACACTAATCATTAATGGCAGGATAAAGGTCCAATTATTTAAATTTATCACGAGTTCTGCGAGGGCTGATCACGAGTCAATACAGACCGAAAATGTGGTTGGTGCATATAAATTTAGACGGACAATTCACTAAGGAAATGAACTCCATTTGAGTTGAAATTTTGGATATACGACCGTCTCGATGAGAAAAATTCAACGGTATGACACCTGAATTAGGCAAAAAATATAACAAATCAAAATATTTTGGACGACAAATTTAGCTTCCAATTTAGCAAATTCTTTCTCAATATCCTCCCAATTGACGTAATTTTTGCATCGTTTTAAGACCTCATAGTAAGTGCGAGCTGACGTCTTAGCTAGAGAGCTTCGACAAGTACCAGCCCCCAACTCCTTATCAATCCACCTGCTTTGACCTCGTCTGAAGTCGACGGTATTTTCATACACACTTGGTTATACCTCGCTACGTACTTTCTCAAAGACTCCCTCTCCTCCTGCCTCATGGCCATCAAAGTCAAATAAATCTTCTCCTGGGCAATGTCACTAGCATATTGATTCAAGAACAAACTCGAAAATTCCTCGAAGTCCCTGACCGACCATGGAGGAAGCTGATGAAACCAATCTTGCGTGTCTGCCCTCAAGGTCGATAAGAATGTCCTGCAACTCACAGCATCAGAATACCCATGCAACACCGACATATATTCAAAAGTTGTTTGTAGTATTGTATCGAGGATCTCCCTCGAGAAAGGGTGTCCTCGAGCTCGACCAGCTGACCTACCATCTACTTTGGCCTGCAATTGGCGAATCTGCTCTACCATCCTCTCGAAAGCTCGATCCCTACAATCACCTCCTTCTCCATTGTTTGACTCATCCATCTTCGTCTCTTGCTGGTTTCTTCCCATTATTGTGGTCGGTGCGGTAGAAGCCTGAGAAGTGTGGTGAGTAGCCTGCTGAACCACTCCGGCCTCCACGGCACTTGCGATCATCCGTTCCAGTTTTTGCCTCGACATCGTAACAAGATGGTAGTCCGCTCGCTCCATCTTGGTCCTTGGTGGCTCCATTGGTTGAACCATCGCTCTCCCTGGCTGCGTCTAAGCTATATCTAGTTGGGTCTGCACTAAAACCACTGCACCTTGAGTTGTTCAAGCCTCTTGTGTTTGGCTAGATCCAGAAACGTTGGTTGGGACCACCGATGAACTCCCTAAACCAGTAGGGCAAGGCGTTGGGGTCACCAAGGTATGAGAAGGTTCGGAGAAGCCCGACGGTAGGCCTACTCCAAATAGACGAGAGTTCGACCACTCCACGTTGAAGGTATGTTCCAAGTTCTTTTTGGGAATTCACCGGCCATGGCTATGGTGCTTTATGGATTTTCGAATGGAGGTCCCACAGACGGTGCTAAAATGGTACGCATAAGACTTCAGACCGACTGGAAACGGTCTAAACTCGAGCTCCCTCGCCAGTAGATTGCCTGCAAACCTGCAGAAAAAACTCTCATACCGGATGGGGTTTTCTGGTAAAGAGTCTCTGATACTTAAATGAGCACTTGCAGGAGATGAAGTGCATAAAATAGTGTATGGACTAATAGAGAATGTAATGCGATAATGGGCATACCTCACTCCCTTATATAGAAGATGATACCTTGTTGCCCAAGACTGCCCGGATGGGCTGCCCGACTTGCCCGTCCATACTGCCTGAGTTGCCCGGACTGCTTGATCTGCCGGAACATCCCAATTCTGTAAGGCCACATAGCCCTATACACGTGCGGCTCTTAACCCCTTAAAATTCCTTCTTATGCTTTAGTATTTTCTATTAGATAGCCTAATGGTGGGACCATCTCAAGGTCTAATGAGGCAGAACGTTGTCTGTTTTGATACCAATGTTGAGTAGTAATTTGTGGGTAGATGGTAACTGAGCCACCCGGACTCAGGTCGTTCTCTAAGGAAGGCTATTCGGAGCTTTGTTTACTAACTAAATGCCCAAGCACACATAGATCAAACAATTCCTAAACATTCTATTCAAGGTGGATGAGAGATTTAAGCTAAATTAACTAAGGAAATAGACAAATAATTGACTAAGCAAGCAAATAAAAATAAAATCCATAGCTTACTAAACCGGAGAGCTTAAAATCAAGTAAAAAGAACGAAAGCAAGAAAAATGAACCGCGTCTAATGCACTTAAGAGCTAAAGTTGAAATTTCTACTACGAAATTACCGAGCTCAATACCAAAGTCTCGATTTTTCTTGTAAATAATCGATTTTTCTTGTAAATAATCGAACCTTAACTAACCCAAGCATAATAGTCGAGCTCACAAAAGATAAAGAAGCGAAAATAAACAAAAACGAGCAAAATACACCATAAATCGAGCAATCCCTAGATTACTTCTACAACCGAGATAGTAAATAAGTGCAAA